TGGTGGGTGTGGGTGTCTTGAGGGTGGAGTGTGGTGGGTGTGGGTGTGAGTCTTCTCTTCAAGTCGTATCCCTTCCCACACACTCACACCCACATCCACACTCACACCCACATCCACACTCACACCCACACCCCACACCCACATCCACACCCTTATCATGCTTGTATATCCTAACAATGCATAACCTAAAAATTGAATATTTCTTTCCAGGTAAACCATACGCAGCTCATATTTTAAATTTGTTAGTTTCTCACTGAAAGCTTTCTTTTGACCCGAATGTAGTCAATCTTTTCGCTCCACAGTTCACACACCTCCATTATCAGTCAATACAGCGAATTGTTTTGAAAAAAACTCGAATCGGTTGCCAACTTCCTTTACATCATAAAATTCATTAATTTGTTCCAGCTCTTCAACGACTAATACAATAGAAAGATTAATTTTATCTCACGAGTTTCATAAACATTAGATTGGATAGTGAGATGTCCATTCCAGCGGCAACAGATTATTTTTGATGGATTAATAATAACAGTTCTGGTTCAATGCAGTGGAACTCGAAACATTTTTTTTGAATACCATCGTGACAGTGACAGATTTTCATATAGATGTATTGAAATAAATGTTAGGAAAAACGATGACAATTTAAGGTCATTAAAATGAAACGAATTGAAACTGTCGCATAATTGGTATTAAAAATCGAAATCAAACAAAATTTTTGTTTTTGAACTAAAAGTAATACTTTTGAAGATAATCTATGATGCAAAAGTCTTGACAAAAAATATTCACTTATCTTTCGGCCATTTAAATACAACTGGTTACAGTGAGAATCAGACTTTTTTTGTTCTTTCCGAATATATGTTTAGAATTTCGTTCTCGGATGAGATTGGAAAACTGTGATCAGATTGTTTCAAAATAATGATTGTACAAAATACTGTTTTAGGCGATTTGCTCTACAAAGCATTCTGTTTACTTTTGAATGACAGATTTTAAAACACTTATGTTTTTAAAGGCAATTTTTGCAAGAGCAATGGTCGATTTCCATAGAAACTAGCTCTCTAGTAGAAACGGATAGAAAAAGGTTCCGCTTATTGTAATATCTCATTTTGTACAGAATTCAGCACTCTACAATAATATTTAAATGAAGCTGTCCAAAGACACAACCTAAGCACTGCTTCGAAGTCGCTATTTTATTTTGTATAGACATAGTTTTCGTTTTTTTTCACAAAACTTACTAATACTGAAGGCCTACGAAAAGTATTGATTTAAGCAGATAAAATCCCACAGGAAATAGTTAAACAAGTATTTGAGCTAATAGCCAGACTCAATCATGTACAATCAATTTGTTTGAAGATATTTTTGATTAAAAAATTCATCATCTTGGTTATAACACTTCATTTAATTGATGAAATTTATTAATTAAATCGAGCACCTAGAAAATGCATAGTGCTTTATCTGGAGAATCAAGTGGGTGTAAAATAATTATGCGTAGTTAAGCATGGCTACTAGTTCCAATACTTGCTGGAAAAAAACCTTGTTAAACTCTTTCTTATAGACTTTTATCTGCTACAACGAGTAATTTTGAAAATGAGGGCATGGTAAATTCCGCTTTCCAGGAAATTCAAATTTGACTGTGCCTCAAATGAAGGATGATTTCAAGAAGGGTATAGTATGGGTTGGGTTGGGTTGGGTTGGGTTGAGTTGAGAATATAAGGGATGGGATGGGTTGGGATGAGTTAGGTTGGGTTGGGTTGGGCTCGGTTGGGTTGGGTTGGGTTGGGTTGGGTTGGGTTGGGTTTGGATTGGTTGGGTGTGGGGTGTGGATATGGGTGTGGACGTGAGTGGGTGTGGGTGTTGTTTTCTTTTAAGTCACACCCACATCCACACTCACACCCACATCCACAATCACACCCACATCCACACTCACACCCACATCCACACCCACATCCACACCCATACCCACACACCCACACCCACACCCACATCCACGCCCATACCCACACACCCACACCCACACCCTTGTATAGGACATGGTGGGGTTGTGAATGCAATTGTTTTCATATCCACAAATTTGAAATAAATCCGAGCTTTTTTTGTTTAATGACGAACATTCAAAATATACTTGACATACTAGAAAAGAAAAACCAAAAAATTTAATTAAACAACAATAAACAAAATTACTTTTTCTCTTATCAAGTTTTGGAATAATCATTAAAATATTATCACCACCGTTCCAGCGACCTTTCGTTGGTACACATCTAACAAATGATTTGTTATTATTTATATGTGTCGTTTTATTAGCAGTCATTATATGAGAATATACAGATGTTTCATCATAGATATAAGGTAATAGATCATCATAAACTAGTTCAGCTATAGAAAAAAATAATTGCGATTTTCCTAATTGATAAATATCAATTATTCTTCGAACATCATGTGGATTATCTGTACGTAGAATATCTTTTTCATCTATAGAATAAAAACAGATTAGTAAATAAGACTTTTTATTTTTTTTGTAAAATTTATTTCATTACCTTTATTCAAAGGACATAATTGTCCATAATTTCTTAATTCATGTTGAGTTAATTTTCTACGACTAATTCGAAAACTAAATTCGACAAAATTATTTAGCAAAAACATTTTTATTTTTATATTTTACCTCTTACGACCTTGATTTAATTCTTCTTCTGATATTGGAAAATAATGTGTATTTTTTTCTATGTCTTTTATAACATTTAATTCTGAAGTATCAATTGGATAAGGATGTATGCATATCACAGGCACTTGTTCGCTAGATACGGTGACTAAAGTTACACGAATACATAACCTTTGACTATCCCATTGTTTTGATATCTAGTTAACAATCATGTTAGAAATAAATGAAGAAAAACAAAAGATTTTAAATCTTATTTACTTCTATTGTTGGATAGTTCAAATGATCTGGATTATTTTCAGCAGGAATATACCGTTGTGATCGATTACGATGACCTATTTCACATAAATATCTTTCACGATATGATGCTTTTGGTTGAGCAATTATATGAAGTGGTATGTTCAATTGGGCCGTTGATTCAGATTAAAACTAGAGTCTAAATTGTACCAACCATGCATTTATATTCAAATCAAACACCTGACAAAGCCCCCACTAATAAAGTGGCTCTATTTCTCACCCATGATGTCAAAGTAACAATGCACACCTATTGCTTGGGAAAAAACCTTACCTTCATTCTTTCTTTCTTGATAAAAGGTTGAAATTATCCTAGTTATATTTAGTAATAATGATTTATCAATTTCATGATTTATTTATACTAGAAAGGAAAAAGTCAAAACTTCGTACTTCAAAGGTAGACTGGAATACGGTGAAATGTGAGATTTTCACTTTTTCCGCCTTAGTTTGTACATGTACACTTCAGAAGACATCCATAAAAGGTATCCAATCAAAATTCGCGGTTTTTTTTTATTCCTTCCCCTCCTCAGTTCGTACTTGCCTGGTTTTGATCGATGTTTCCCGTTCACACGACGTCCCCTGTTAAAATTTTTTTAGAAGAAAAGTTTTGATAGAACTTTTTTTATTAGATTTCAATGCTTCCGGACAGTCAAAATTTAGTAAAAAGTAAGTTGCCGAATCGTTCAGAATCTTCTTTGATTCAGCAGCTGTTTTGAAAGTGTCTAATTCTTCATAGGGAGCACATATCAGACAAGAATAACCAACAACACATACATTTTACAATTGATATACGTCATTCACATTTCTAAGTGAAATAGTATACAATTTCTCTATGGAATGTTTTAAAATCGCTGTTAAAACTCATTTAGCATTGACATTTTGATAAAACTCATGAAAAAATTCCTAACAAACATCTGAATGTTCAAATGTATTCGAACCCACCCGTCTTGTCTGTCCAAACCTGTCTAGTTTGAATTGAGACCGTTCTGATCATTTTGATGGCCATCCTATATGGATGACTCCTAAAAGTTTTTTTAAATACAGAACAATAAGACTATATGTGGCAACAAATGAGCAGCACATGAATTTTCGATCACAACTTTTTCATCTATTCTAGAAAAGATATATCTTCTTCAAACACAAAATCCATGTTAACTATCAACAGTGTGAACCTTTGCCAGTAATAATTAATATTAGTAGTGAGAATTTTTTTTTAAACCTAAAAAAATCATTTCTAATCACTATGAGGATGAGATAGTGAGAAGAATACCTCTGTCTGCTGATGGAAACATATGTTGCTTAGTTCGATATGTATTCAGTATATGATTCATATGGATCAGCTTCATGTAAATATACAAAAAGAGGGTGTGGAGTGGGTGGGGTAGGTGTAGGGTGTCGGGTGGGTGTGGGTACATCTTTTAGAACATGCGCACGCACAGGCACACCCCCCACACCCCACACCTCACACCCGTACCCATCTTATTTCATATAAAACACTGTATGATGATGAATATTGTTAATGATATATTTGTATTTTTGTAGATATTGATCAAATTTACTCGTTCTTTTGTATCCAATGGTGTTCCATCATCATTGGTTGTATTCTGATTTTATTTTTACATTCATAATTTAAAAATGATGTAATCTATTTATTTGTTCTTATTTTAGCGATTTCTACGATTCCAATAACAACTCCTATGCCAGATGTGGATGTTTTCACATCGGAAGACTTTGTCAAAGCTGGTTAACAGCCAGTTGCTACTGGAACAGTTCTACTCATATGAATATGAATTATACTTGTAATAAATTCTATTGTAATGTATGCGTTCTTTACGAAAATAAATAAAATGTTGAATCCTCATCGAATTATGGCTAATCAACGACGACCTGCATTTGCTAAACGACTTCAAGCAGATCAATAAAATAAGCATTTATTAATAACTTTATAAGATTTTTCTATATTCATTTATAATATTACTTTCTTTAAAATATATTAAAATTAAAACAAATGTTCTTTGTTATCAATAGAAGCACGAGTGCTTACTTAATATGAAAAGATTTTCATATTAAATGTTAAGATATCGTACGAAATACTATAATTGATAAGAATGTCTGTGTTGAACTACAGACATTATAGATGAGTTTATGTAATTTCGCCAATTGTGAATTTGACCAACAATATGTTCGCTATTGGCGTTAAGATTTTACCCTGTTCAATTCAATGACCTGCCTAGTGACGAATGATGGCCGAATCAAAGGAAAGAGAACAGAACATTATTTTAGTTATATAAATTTTAATATCTTTGTGCGTTTCTCTTTTACGATTCCATCATTAATAGAATTTGAAATTTATTTTAATGTTATTATATACATCGATTGACGGCCATGTACATCCTTCTTCGAAGGATACTCTATGCTAGGAGCAATTAATACTACTGTGTTAAAAGCTGTAACCCATGATGAAGGTCTATAAGTTTCAATTGTAAACTACATTTTGGGCTACTATCGTGTTCAAGTTATCATTACAGATAGAATCTGAGTCCAGCTAGCAAATGCGAGCTGTATAAATCTTCAAGTTTGATGAAGTCTTTTGAAGTTTTAATAGATCTCTTGACATCTTATAGAGTTTCTCGAGATCCTTATATGTACAGGAATGACGTGTACTATTTCTTCTTGATTTGAGAGAAAAAGTGCATTACAATTAAAACAGTTTTCAAATATATTATCAAGATGCAGTGCATCACATTTTATTATGTATCTCTTTCAATTTAATTTTTTCTCACTTGAATCAAATAGAATAAATATGTTTCTACTTTAAAAGCCTATTCTCCACGTGTGTTCATTCATTTTTTCTTTTCTGTTGATTTCGACACAAGTTAAGGTAAACGAATGCAGAAACAAATGTAATATTATCTATTGAAAAAAGAAAGATGGTCATATTAAGAGTTGGGAAATAAATTCGTAAAAAAGATCGAGGAAAATTCCTTCAAGTATCATGAGATGGCGACCGCTCTGTTACTCGAAAAAGGCTTGATGGCGGTGACCGCCTTCGCCACTGCAGTAAGGTTTATGTCGTCTTCCGCACCGTTCCCGCCTTACTTTTTAGGCGCAGTGCACATCTATGATACCAATTGATCTTGTTTGTCAAGATTTAAATTAGGAATAGGTTTTGTGTAGAATTAATCATTTTCACTCAAAACACTCTTTGTTTTATTCTTTTTAAACGCGAATAAATAATTATTTGGATTATTCTTTTGAACTAATTATTAAAGATTTAAAATATCTATCGTATTGAAAAAGAAAACCGATCATATTGAAACGAGAAAACAAAAGATGATTGGAAATATTTACAACAAATCAAATAAAAATAAGCAGATTCAATCAATTTCATTAATCTATTGAGATTATTTATGTGAAAGAAATCCAACAAAATATAGAATATAAATTGAATCATTAAACAAATGATGTATCGAAAGATCATTTGCAAAAACGAAAATTAACGTCAAAAAAAAAAGAAAAGGAATAAACAAGTGGCTAATTGTAAATTTGTCAGATCTATTCGATGACAATACAAAAGAATAAAGTAAATTCTGGCATACTTTACATTTTTTTTCAACAATTCTTGTAATATATTAACGTACAACTTTTATAAAATAAAGAATAATTATTCACTAGTTAAAATGTTTTTCATAATTCGATAATGAACAATAGTTAATAGTGTCATTAATATTTTCAATAATACAAAAGCCGAAAATAAAAATATTAATATGCCATTGATAAGTGTATAATAAACATTTGGTACGTTTGAAATAAAAAATTCTCCATGTATACACAAACTTATAATAATAAATAAATTTGATAAAAGAAATAATCGAACCGGCTCTTTAAAAATTAATATTATCGAAATTGTATTGATAAAACATGTTATAATAAACACATATTGTAATGGAGATAAAGAGTCATCGTAAGATTTTTTAATAGGTTTATTATTTTCTAGTGCATGAGATATAATATAATCAAAATTTAAATTATAAATTGAAGACCAACATTTATGACAAACTATATCATACATATCAAGATTGTGTCCAGCAATTTGCTTTAATTCGTATATTTTTTGTTCCAATGTATTTAATTTTTCTCTTTCTTTTTTAAAATGCTCTTTGAAATAATCATGTTTTGAATGAATGTTTTTCATCATGGAAATAAATATGGAAAATATCCAATAATAAATAAAAATTAACATTAAACAAATTATTAATAACAGCCACTTATTTTGATTTAATAAATAATCAATAGGTTGTGGTCGCTAAAAATAAATCAAAACAGTTAATGAGATATGTTCGTTCTGTTAAAATCAAAGAAAAAATTCTTTTTATTCTTTTTTTAAGGATGTCGATTTAAATTTAACTTACTTTAAATTTAACAGAAAAATGATACTGCTACTCTTTTTCTATATACTTCTCACTTACCATTTTATCAAACGTTTTTTTGTGTATTTTTTTATCTAAAGTGCTATTTGTAGCATCTGTATAAGATGACATTATGACAAAAACTATGTTATCTAGAAGAATAAGAACAATAATGAATAATGATAAGTAAGAATAAAAGCAATAATGAATAACAACAAGTAAGAATAATATTCTCACTTG